AGGTGGGCTGATGCCAACCTCATGAAGTTTAACCATGCCAAGTGCAAGGTCCTACACCTGGGTCAGGGCAATCCCAGGCAGAGCTACAGGTTGGGCAAAGAAGAGATTCAGAGCAGCCCTGTGGAGAAGGACTTGGGGGTGTTGGTCGATGAGAAAATGAACATGAGCTGGCTTCAGTGTGCGCTTGCAGCCCAGAAAGCCAACCGTATCCTGGGCTGCATCAAAAGGAGCGTGACCAGCAGGTCGAAGGAGGTGATCCTGCCCCTCTACGTGGAGACCTCCTAGCAGCCTTCCAGTATCTGAAGGGGGCCTATAGGGATGCTGGGGAGGGACTCTTCATTAGGGACTGTACTGATAGGACAAGGGGTAACGGGTTAAAACTTAAACAGAGGAAGTTTAGATTGGATATAAGAAGGAAATTCTTTCCTGTTAGGGTGGTGAGGCACTGGAATAGGTTGCCCAGGGAAGTTGTGAATGTTCCATCCCTGGCGGTGTTCAAGTCCAGGTTGGACAGAGCCTTGGGTGACACAGTATGAGGTCTTCCCGCTCATGGCAGGGGGTTGGAACTTGATGATCTTAAGGTCCTTTCCAACCCTTCTATGATTCTATGATATGTATAGAAAATGGGTTTGTAATAAACAAGGCAGTGCTCATTTACATGCTTACTTGTATGTTTATTTTGCTCGTTCTGTTTTTTGTTGCCCTCCCTCAAGAACTGTACTTTTAGTTTAATCTCTTGAAATCTGTTAAATGAAAGTATGATCTTTTTATATATATAATGCATGCATATAGACTTACACACAGAGAATATGCTCTTTATAGAATTTACAAACATGCCCAAATTACAGTGCTTTAGAGTGAGAGCTACCTTTTGAATTTTATGCTTACTTTTATTGATCTGAACTAAAGATCTTCCACCATCAATTAAGACTGCATGCCCTTTTTCTGACCACACCATAATGAAGTGGCTCCTGTGCCTGTCCTGCCTATAGGTGTTTGTTGTCCTCTGCTGAAAGTTGCAGTGCTTTTAGATGCGTCAGAAAATACTGCATACAGGGCTGCTCTCCAAACCAGTTGTTTCAGGATGCCTACATTAGCTCAGGTATTCTTAATATCTAAACCAGGTCACTTTGACAGAACTACATTAGGGGATAATTACAGAAGAAGTGCTTACAGATGGGGAGGAGACAACTCTTGTCTCTGTACAGGGCAAGGAGGAGCAGTTACGGTGCTGCCATTCTCACCTGGCGTAGCTTTAGCTGAACAGCAGTTTGGCCTGTAACCTTATCTTGTTCTTGTCTGGTTTTTGAAAAAGTGTAAATGTGGTATATTTTGCTAATAAAAGCAATTAAAATCAAAGTATCTGCTTCCTCGGGGAGAGAAAGCAAACATGAACCAGGTCTCACCACATTCATGGAAGGGAAATTTACTGTTTTACAGATGGGAAATCTCAGATATAATTATGGTATGTGGGATTATAGTTTGGGCACTCCACTATTGGATTATACCTCTGAGCAGCATGTTGTTTTTCTGTTAGTTTTTCTGTTGGCTGAGGTTTTGAATGTTATTGATCGCTACCCCATGTGGGGAAAGTGATAATTTAGCATGCTAAAATAAACTGGGAGATGTTATCTTTTGCCTGATGACTTTTGCTCGTACTTTTTTTATCTTTTCTTTTTATATAATTTTCCATTCTATTTTGATTCTACTGCAACAGTTGGAAACTAACCATTAGCGGCAAATCCTGACAGTGCAGGATCTTTTAATTGCTGAAAAGAAATATTACCCCATGGCACAAGGCATTGGACACTGTAGAAATGGTAGTTTACATTAACTTCTTGTTACCAGCATTTCTGCCGTGATTATGGCAAAAGATGTGGTCTTGCTCTTCCCCTGGCGCTTAGGGGCACTCTGCCAGTTTTTAACTCTGAACTATCTTGGCATAAAATCAGAAAAGCACCTGCTCAGCTCCAAAGTAACAGTAGTGGGGGGAAAAGCAATACTACCCATGCAGATGTTACCTAGTTGTCCCAGCATGTTAGCTGACTTTAGACTTTTTTTTCCCTGTCCACTTAGATTCCCCTTTTGTGTGTGTGTGTGGTTTGTTTGTTTTTTTAATATTTGGATGTAAGTTGTTAGTATCTTCTAACATAAGACTGTGATGTGTCTTGCATTGTATTTCGTGTTATGTCACACCACTGTACACCAAAGTAGATGTGGAAGACTTGGAAAAGCTTTCTTTTTTTTTCAGTAGAAAAAAAGAGAAGTACAAGTTTGTAGTCACTGTTTTTGCAATGAAAGTTTAAATAAGCCACTAGTTCAGGGTGGATATTCCTATTCCTGTTCTACTCAAACCGTGTGTGCATCATGGAAGTATTCCAGTTTCCTCTTCCCAGCTCTGGATGAGAAACACTTATGTTAGCTGTCATCATCAGCAAAAGTATTGAGGCAGAATATTCCTAAGCAGTTTTTCAAGTGGTCCTACGGGAGTTAGACTAATCAAGCTGAGGCAATCCAAAAAGTCCCTCACTAAAGCTCTAAAACCACAGGATAAATTGTGTATCACAGGTTAATTGCTGTAATTTTTGTGTTATAAATAAAATAGAAATAAGTTGTCTTCAAGAAGAATTAATGGGTTAGGAAAAATACCTCCTTTTGATCAAAAGAAGCAATGTCAAAGTAGGTTTTGTTGCAGGCTTGGACAATACAGCTAAATATAGTGATTTTCTTTATGCATTTCTGTCTGCTCTATATATCATGGGGTTGGGAATGGATTTTTGCATCTTGGGTTCTAGAGTTCATCTGTTATCTCTGCAAGGTATCTGTTTTTTGGATGAGAGGAGTGGCTTCGTACTTGAAAAGGGCATGTCGTTTATGAGTGACCTTTTGGTATTGAAAGACATTAGTAGAACTTTGTGCCTAGTAATCAATGCTGTTTCTTACGAAGATTTCCTGCTAGAAAATTAAACTGCCTTTCTAGTGGTAGAGATCTTTCTCTGAGAATCATGGTTTTAAAATCTATTTTAGACGGTTGAGAAAGGATGACCAAGACTATAGTAGTAATTGGGGTGTTGTTTTTTTTTTGACAATATATCAAGTTTGATTCATTGGTTTGTTTGTAAGTTTTAATTTAACATTTCTGGCTTAATACTTGAAGGTCTTCTTACGCAGTGTCTACTGAAAAAAAAAGAATGCGCATTTCTCCATAATCACTTTATTATTTGGGGTAGCATTTTTGTTAAGGTTCTTTTAAATAACATTTTATGGAAAAACAATAATTTCATTTTTCTAGCTGCATGTTTTTTTAAGTCCAGTGACTTTACTAAAAAGTGAAATAACCAGAATAAAAATGGTTTTTTACATATTTTAACATTTTAAATAATATTTGGACAATTTGTATTGCATTATAATACATATAAAACGTATTGAATTATACAACTGAGTAACAAGGTGAAGGTAGAGCTAGTTTGTATTTGATTTTATTTGTGTGTTGCTGTTTTGGTTGGTTTTTTTAAGACCTATTCAAAGAGAGCTATGCAACACGCTAATGATAGGACAGCATAGTACAACACCTGTAGGGTATCACATGAGTTTGTAGGATGTGTAATTATTATAATCTCAGCAGCAATATAATAGTAATCATTTAACCTCACTGTAGAAAACCAAGCAGTACATTATGATAACATGTCACATATAAGACTAAGATGTACTCTTAAGAGAATCTGCTGTTAACAATCATGTGATTTGGTAATGAATCATATTCCATATGTGTATACCATATATATGTATACCATACATATGTGTACCATACATACTCATATTTTCCACCTTTCCAAACATTTCTGTAGATGCTCCATTTGGTGAGTGCCACTCCAGTAAATGTTACTGGTCTTCAGAGGTTCTTCTAGGTGTGTGTGGTTCTGGCTTGCATGCGTGATCTTTGTTGATCAGGGGCTAGGACTTAAATTAATAAGTGAAATAAGTGATAGTCCCGTCCCTCCCCCTTGCTTTTTTAATAAACGAAAGGGAAGATAGTGATGGGGAAGAAAGCTGTATTGGTCCCTTAGCTGAAATTAAAGGGGCTGGAGGATTTTCCAGAAGGAACAACTTGAGTAGGAGATACTAAATGAGAAGGGGAAATCTTGAAACTAGCTTTGAACTTACATCTCTTTTCTGTAAAAGAATACCCTTTCTCCAGGAGTAGGAAGATTGGCATGAGTTTTGGGACAAGGCATGAGCCTCTTTCCCTGCAGCTGCTGCTTTCTGCCCTGTGGGCTTTGCCCCCCTCAGTGCCTGAATTCCTCTAGCCTGTGGGTCCCACGTGCAGGTGTAGCATGTGCATGCTTAATACTTATGACATGAATGCCAATACAAGTGAGGCATGGTAATTTGTTCAAGTACGTGTATCAAAGACTGGCCAAAACAAGTTCTCTTTTTTCATGAGAGGAGCAGCCTCAGAAAAAAAAAAAAATTGTCCCAGTTTCTAAGCTGTACCGTATTGTCCCTAGTGGCGGAAGGATAGCTCATTGTGAGTAAGGGATACTCTCATATGCCTTATGCTAAGCAAGCAAATTATTCAAACAATATCAAATTGATAAGTTTTATAAGGTAAACACACTGTGTTTATACAGCATATTTAAACATGATCTCTATATTCAGGGAGGGAAATCCTATCCAAATTGAAGTCGGTGTCAAAACTTTGCTAGGGTCAGTGCTGCTTCTTGACTGTAATGTCTCATATTCAGATACTTGTGCATGCAAAATACTTAGTAAAGAACAATTTTGGTGTTTTAGAACATCTTTTATGAGATGGAAGTAACAATCAGAGATTTAAAGAGAGGAATTTCTTGTCAGCAGTGAAAGACTGTAAGCTATAGATCTCCAATACAGAATTACAGAACTATAAGAATATCTTTAAATCTGTCTCCACTTAACAAATTATTGGCATGCAAGTTACTTATATCTGTTCCTGTCTAATGTTTAATTTTCCTTTTTAACAGGTAGAGAGAATTGTTGACAAAAGGAAAAACAAGAAGGGAAAAACAGAGTATTTGGTGCGGTGGAAAGGATACGACAGTGAAGATGATACTTGGGAGCCAGAGCAGCACCTTGTTAATTGTGAGGAATATATACATGAATTTAACAGACGCCACAATGAAAAGCAGAAAGAAAGCACATTAACCAGGACAAACAGGACCTCTCCAAATAATGCCAGAAAACAAATCTCTAGATCTACCAATAGTTCTTTTTCAAAGACATCTGCTAAATCTTTAGTTATGGGTAAAGACCATGAGTCAAAAAATAATCAACTCTTTTCTGCCACCCAGAAGTTACGGAAAAACAGTTCACCATCTCTTTCTGGAAGGAAAAATATGGACCTCGCAAAGTCAGGTATTAAAATCCTAGTGCCCAAAAGTCCAATGAAGAGCCGGACAACAGTTGATGGCTTCCAGAACGAAAGCCCGGATAAAATGGACCATATAGAACAGGATCAAGAAGACTCTGTAGCACCAGAAGTAGCCGCGGAAAAACCAGTGGGAGCTTTATTAGGACCTGGTGCAGAGCGTGCTAGAATGGGCAGCCGACCAAGGATACATCCATTAGTGCCACAATTGCCAGTGCCAGTAACAGCCACAATTGCATCAGCATTAACAATAAATGGAAAAGGTATGTGTATGGATCGGTCATTTTTGTGTAGATTTTTCATTTTACTGATCCTTTTTGCTGTTCAGATGCAAACAGATTACCACTCTGTTTCAGCCATGTTAAATCAAGTCTGAAGAACTTCACAACTTTATTTTACATAGCTATATGACTACAAAGCCATTTTGAATTTTGCCAGCTTTTGTTTTCCTCGCAGAGATTCATTGGTATTTGTGTTTTCAGAATCACCATGAGACACTTCTATGTTTGCTTTGACATTGTGTGGTACACATGATCGGTGTACCATTTCCAGAGATTATCTCATTGCTTTATTTAAATAGGCCATATTTGGTATAAGTATTAGAAACATAAATTATGAGAATAGATCATAGAATCATATAATGATTTGGGCTGAAAGGGACCTTAAAGATCATCTAGTTCTGACCCCCCTGCCATAGGCAGGGACACCTTCCACTAGACTAGGTTGACCCAAACCCCATCCAGCCTGACCTTCAGAACTTCCAGGGATGGGGCATCCAGAACTTCTCTGGGGAACCTGTTCTTGTGTCTCACCAGCCTCATAGTGAAGAATTTTTTTCCTAATATCTAATCTAAATCACCCTTCTGTCAGCTTGAATCCATTCTCCCTTGTTCTATCCCTACATGCCTTTGTAAAAAGTTCCTTCTTGTAGGCCCCCTTTAGGTACTGGAAGGCTGCTATAAGGTCTCCCTTCTCCAGGCTGAACAAGCCCAGCTCTCTCAGCCCATTTTCATAGGAGAGGTGCTTGAGTCCTCTGATCATCTTTGTGGTCCTCCTCAGGACTCACTTGAGCATTCTTCATTAACAGTTGACGTATCTATTTTGTTATAAATATTCTCCAGAAAAAAAAACTGAGAATGATATTGCTAAAAAAAAGCAAAGTTGGTAAGTTTTGTTTCAGTGAAAATTTGAGCCAGTTGTGGAAGTACTTATGCCTTCTGCCTGGATTGAATTCTGTCTTCATTCTATTTTATAAATATTTTGTCATTTATGCCTCATTTGATATTGAGAGCTTATCTAGGCTTGATGCCTGGGTTGCTATCATCTCAGTAGATGACAGGTTATTCAGCTTGTGCTGTAAATTTTGTGATACCATTGAAACCCAAACTACTTCGGTGTGAGGAAGCTGTTTGTTGCCTTCACCCAGGTGAGACCCTCATTTAAGACTTCATGATCCTCATTCTTGTGCCCCAAACCTTGGCTCTTCCCTGACAGACCCAGGCTGTTGTGTAGTCACAGGTGTTCTTGTAAGCATGCTTTTGAGGCTCAAGTTTGAAGTGTAAGTCTGTGTCCTTAAATAAATAAAATGCAGTGGGTAGAATCTGCAGGTATGCTGTTGATGATGACTTGCTGGAAAAATTGCTTGAAAACCAAGGACAGGGCTTACCAAAGAACATGCTTAGAGGCAAACTACATGGGCAAAAAAATGTGTTGAAGGCTTTGGGAGAGTTTGTGTTGGATGCCCCACTGTTGCATTCAGATTTTCCGAGAAAACAGCTGGGGAAAAGCAGTGGACGAGGGAGGAATATGCTCTTGGAGCTGCAGTGTCAGGTCATGGACCAACCCATTTTGCTGCAGATGAACTAGGTAACCATGGTAATGCACACACAGATGCCAGGAATATCTCTTCCTTTGCATGGGCTAAAGAAGGAATGTAAATCTTAGAGGATGCAAACAGAGCTGGAGGGGAAAATGCAAGAAATGCCAGTACGAGAGTTTTCTGAGTAGGTGAGGTAGAGGAGTGTGTGTGCAAGCACAATAGTTTGATGATAATCAATATGCATTTTGTAGTATGGTGGTGTTCCTAGTGAAGTGATTGATAAGCTCTGCTTTTGCCTCATGGCGTTCGGAAAAGGCACACAAAGGGCCTTTTTGGGGTAACATCCAAATTGTGCAGTAATTCTCAGATTATGAAATTTAGAAACAAAGTAAAAACAAATGAACAAACAAAAAAAAACCTTTACATTTATATCTGACATCAGTCTTTTTTTTTTTACTAGCTTTCAGGATCTCTTGGACAGATACCTTTTTCACAGAAGCCCAGGCTCCAATTCAGCTGTTCTGCATGGCCAGAGTGGATCTTTATTTAGAGAAAAGCCAAGAGAGGCAGCCCTGTCTCTTACAGCTAGCTTGGCCTTGGAGCTTCCTGAGCTGATCCATTCTCTATCTCTTCATTAAAGCTGTGCTCCTCTTGCTGTTTTTATTTTTAACTTCACACTGCTATTCATTAAAAATGTAGCAAATCAATGCTTCGTTCCCTCCTCTGCATGGGGCTGTCACAGTGCAGGATCCCATTTCACTCCTTACTTAAGACATTCCTTCTCTCCTAAATGGACACCTATCACATTTTCAACACCAACCTCAGGAATCACACATCGTGAGAGGTATTCATTGAGAGGCAACAGTGTCAAATTCGTACCTTCATCTTCATATGCGCCAGGTCTGGCATATTAATAATACAGTTGATAGATCTGGCATTTGGAGCACTCTTTTCCAAATTTCCCACCTCCTCCACATACACTTTCTGCTAATTTTAAAGAGTTCCTACTTCCACATGGAGCATGTTGTCAGAAGACAAAAGCATGTTTTGAAAAATAACTTTTAACTTGAGCTGGTTTAGGAGTTATTATTATAACAATTTTGTTGGAAAAACCCAGTAGTCAAAACAGAAATCACTAATTGGAAGGCATATCTTTAAGAAATTCTAGAAAAATATATACTACACCTTAAAAAAATTAGACTTTTTTAATTAAAGCCAATTTAGGTGTTGATTTTTTTTAAATAATGTTGGAAAAATAATTTAAAATTTTAATATGAAAAGAGTGTTCCTAATCTTGAGATTATTGCTGTGACTGCTTTTGTGTGACTCGTGTTAGTTTCTTAGTCCCAATTCAGGATAATGAAACTCTTGAGTGTTTAGTCTGTTCTGGTTTTTGTTTTCCCCAGCTTTGATTTTTATTTTTATTTCATTTAGAGTAAAAGTACACACCAGGAAAAAAAGAACTTGCATGCATAGGAATATTCCATGACTGCAATTACTAGGAAATACTGGTGTTATTGTAGTACCTAGTGTGGCTTTTCACGAGACAAACTGCCATGATGCGGTTCTTGTTCCAAAGTTCCTACAGTCTCAGAAAAGGCACCAGCAAATATTTATACAAATATGCAGGGGTACCAGGGGAATAAAATAACAGTAATATTTGCTCTGGGAGTTGGTGCTTTCAGCACACTAAAATCTAGCTGCTATCCAAAGTACATTTTTTAAACAAAGAGAACTGTTGTATTGAATGTTCATATTTTAAAGGCTTGGCCTTGAAAACAGGGTCAATGGGATAATATACTACGTACAAGTCTAAGAAGGGTGATATATGGAAGAAGTGGGAATGGGTCACTGAATGAACATTGCTGTGCTTCTGGTATTTTGAAATATGTGTTGATCATCAGCTGTTATGAAAAGTTAATAGAAGTGATCCTGAAGTGGATGAATGAAACAGAAAAACACCACCAAAGAACTGAAATGTTGTGGAAAAGGTGTTAATGGCACCTACAAGCTATGTATATTACTCAAAACAAGGCAAGAGAAAAAGTGGCCTTATGTCTTAGCAGTAAGTTCTGATACCTTCAAAGTTTATGAAGACTTCCTTCATCAAAGTTGAATTAAAAAATAGCTTTGAAATTTTATTGCAAATGTTTTAGGCATAGTACACTCTCAATAAATTGGGAAGTTCTATTTAATAGAGTGCACAAGTGAAACTGTAAAGGGAATCTTATCTGTCAATCACCCAGGGCTAGAGAGCTGTCTTGCAATTTTAGAAAGGACTAAATGCCTGTATTGATTGTTCACCTTCTGCAAAGCTTGACCATAAACCAGGTGCCATTGCTTGGCAAATTCTAGGATTTTTGTTTGTTTTCTGGGTCACCCTATACAGTTTCTGCAGTGTCTATTGCTATTTCGAGCTACAGTTTTTATTCAGCTAACAATGTCCAACATGTGGATGCAATCGAGAATAAATGCCACAAAAAGGGATATTTTGGGCAGGAAGGCATGCAAAGCTTAAAGTATAAAATGAGCTTGAAGAGCACATCTAGCTGCATATGTTATAATTAGAATAAGGCAGGCTGATGGCTGGCATACGGGAAGAAAAGAAATACAAGAAATGCAATGAATTACATCACTTGTTAGGTAGACAAGCAGCACCAGTGTGCACAGTGGCATTAGCATCTCCCTCCTTGCATGTATTAATTCAGACGAATAACTTGCAGGAGTAGCAGGCTGTCTGAGAATACAAAGATGATTGCAGTATCTCACCCTACAAGGTGTCTGCTGCTTTTTCAATTGGATAATGGTGCTGCTGTTATCGCAAAACAATGGTATTAGCACCAAAAGAAAAGCCAGGCATCAAGAAAAAACTGAGTCAACTTAAGGTCTGTTTCTTACCTGTTCTCTCCCTTACCTAAAGCAGCTTATGAGATTAAAAACCACAGATTCAGAAAACCAAAAATCCACTATAACACCCAAGGAAAATAGTGTCTGTTGTTTGGTTAAGTGTCTGGTAGCTTTAGCTTCAACAGGAACCAAGCAAGTGTGGAAGTGCTTATGGAGGCAACTGGAACCAGGGAGAAATGTGCATTTTCAGTACAATACCAAGCCAAGCTGGATGGAGTGTAGTGGCTCCCTGTTCCCTAGGGTGAGGGGAGCTCACCCATTTCCCTCCCAAGTTCTCCCAGTTACTTTCTTCCCTCACTCTTTACGTGCCTGGGACTGGGCTTTACAGGAGGAACAGTTCACTGTCACCAGCACAGCTCATTAGACCACTCTTGAATCTCATGGGAAGAGCATAGCAGTTGACAATGGTGTGTTGGGCATGAACCACATTAATTGTCCAAGTGGACCACAAGCTATATGCATATAACCCTCTCAAAAAGCAGTATCAAGAGGAGAGTTGTAGAAGTTCATTACTGTGTGAATTAGAGTGGACAGTAC